AAGGGGCCTTGGTGATTAAATGTTTTCTCTGAGCGTAATGGTTTCCAGGCTGCAGCACTTATCAGGGCTTTGTTTTGCTTTGTGGCTGACAAACAGTACACTGTAGATGTGTACCGTATTTTATTTACGCCCAGTCCGTTGGTGAACGTTGGTTTCTATTGTAAAAGGGGCAGGGAGAGGGCAGTGTCTGACCTCACATAACTTCACAAGCAGAAAGGAGAATCGAAGTCATCATCAGTCCAGAGGTGATTCCTAGGAGGCTGAGGTGAGATATCTCCACCCTTCACCCTCCCTGACCAGTTCTGACACCAACTGCCGCCCCCCACCCCACCCCACCTCCCCGACAGCACTTGCTACTTCTTGGCCGGGATTGATTATTCATTGCACTGCCACACAGGACTCACAGTCAGAGTTTATTAGGGACGTTACCAGGTTACAATGAAGGGTCAGAAATGCACAGGGCTCCGTTCTTCCAGGCAGGACAGTCTCCTCTCAGGTGTGCCTGAAGGTACACCTGGTGGGCGAAAAGCTGGGACAACTCCATTTCTAACAATACTACCTACCACCACCACCGGCTACTGCTGAAGGACAGAAAGACGATGGGTCTATCTCTTGTAGCACCCCTGTGTGATACAGCAACCAGGAAACCCTCTTCAAGAGCAAGCTGTCAGTCAGGACACACGCAGTGTCTGAGCTGGAGACAAAGTATGCAGAGCAGTGGGGACCAGAGCTGAGCTATAAAAGAATCAGCGCCAGGGGAGGTAAGAACTAAACAAGAGATGCTGAGATATCGGAACACCCCCCCCCCCTTCTCCTTGCCCCAGGGCCCCACAAAACTCCTTTCCCCTTCAGGGGGATATTTCTTCCCGACTCCTATGTACTGAGATACATTTTAAACCTTGCTTATTTAACCATATCCCTGTCTTGAAATATTTGGCACTTCCTTTTGCAGCAAGCAGGCAGCTGGATCTGCGATTTTGTGGCCACAGGCTTGGTGTCCCCAGGTGGGCCTCGTAGGGCGGCCTGAGACACCCTGATATGATCAGTGCTGGTCGCCTTAGGCCAGGGCTTGGAGATTTCTCTGGGGGAGGCCACAGACAGCTGGGCCCATTACGGCACCATGGCCCTCTCCTACTAATGCGTGGTGAACAGACAAACCCGGTAGGGAAAGGCTGTCCAGGGAAGGTATGGGCAGGTGAGCAGCCCTCTCTCAGTGGTGCTTCGAGCCAGAACAGATTAGGGGAGGGTGGGAGTCATTTCTTAATGGTGGAGACACCTTGTGGGAAACTAACACTGAGGGAAATATGACAAGGACTATATTCCCTAATGTATCACAGAGGGAATCTGGAAAGCTGGTTTTCCACAGTAGGAAAGCCTCCACTTTGGTAAGTTAGAGGTAAAGTCCAAGTACATGATCCCGCCTTAAGTATCGTGCCCACAGATTCTCCCCCAACAGCTATGCTGCCTTAAAGTGAGCACATGGTTGATTCTATCTCCCTAGAGAAGCAGACATCCTTTTGCTATCTCTTCCCACCGTGTCACCCAGCCCCCGAGACAGGTATTAGGTTTCTTCCCCTACGAGCTCAGGGACCTTAATGTAGATGCCACCCACCTTGTGACTCATGTAACTACTGAATGTACATGTCTTATGACTGCCTATAAATCTCCCAAGATAGTAAAGGCCTCTCTCTTCTCTCAGTTCCACGCGGTCCATCAAGAGAGGTGTGAGCATGCTACTATACAATGTGTTTATTTTATTCTCTCTCCTCCCTTTCCCATCCGCTCTGACTTTGATCTTCATGTAGTATCCCTGCACAGTGGTGCCTAGTGGCCCTTCGGTTGTTGGAGGCTGGTTTCCTCTAACAAAACCTCACGGTCCTGACAGATCCGACAAAGGTGTTGACAGCCCCATACCCTTGACCAGCTAGAGAGGAACATACACTGTTTTGTTCCACACGTAGAGAGTTTCATTGTCTGGATCAAGGGCCTTGTGGCACGTTGAGCTGTATTGGGCTGTTGACTTCAAGGTCAGCAGTTCAAGACCACCAGCCACTCCTCGGGAGAAGGACAGGGCTTTCTTCCCTACAAAGAGTTGCAGGCTCTGAACCGCACATGCCCATTCTACCCTGCCCTACAGACTCGGCATGGAGTCCCTGGCCCTGAGTGTGTTCTTTGGTTTACAGTGTGTCGTGTGTGAATGGTTTTTGTGTGGGTGTGGTGTGGTGTCCCCCCAGCTCCTCTGTGTTCCTTTGCTTTGATTACCCATTCAGCCAAGTCTGTGGTTTTCACCTCAATTTTAGAACCCTGGACCTGCGCGGTGGGGATGTGTGTGTGTGTGTGTCCTGGAAGTTGTGAAGCTGCGCAGCCAGGCTCAGTGCACGGGTGACCTCTAGTGGAAAGACAGCACTGCTGCATGTCCTAAGCTTGTTCCAAGCGCAGGGAAGGCCATTTTCCCTTTTCCTTCCTCTGTCCACCGGGCTCTCGGACGATCACTGGAGAGACAACTGCAGCACCCTAAGATGGCAGGGAGGCAGTCTACGACAGAACTCCCCTCCAGGGTGGACGCTGGCTGATAGGAAAAGAGACCGTTCCG